CTGCTCTAACTAAAGACCATGTGCTATTGGTGTGTTTCTTTGCCTTCCTTCGTCATATTCTATTCTCATATTCTATTTCCTACAGTCTCCACTTCTTGAGTTAGGCTTGGGGTATTCTCTTTCTGTGACTGGACCCCTTTGACTCTAGTCTTTGGTTCCTTCGGCGGCCCTTTGCAGGTTTCCTGAATCCTGGAGGTGCCCAGAAGTCACTTCAGCATGTGGGACTAGACTAAATCAACACTGAACAGACTGGGGTTAATTATAGTCAATATTTGGGAACTAAATTTGTGTGAAGGCACATGCAAATAATGAGTTAAGCAGTTCTGATAACTTGCAGCTTATATCTTAATTGTGCTATTTATGTTTTCTGGAATAATAACTAATACATATGGTAATATAACTTCACAACTAATAATTATAACTAATAAAAATTTCTTACTGTTCAAAATTTATTTTTAGGCATTTTTTGAATATTTTGATGTATTTCTTTTCCAAATCATTTGAGGTTTTTTTTAAAAAAAATAACCATCATGTATGATAGTTATGGCATTTCCAAAATTTATTGCTGTATGATTTGGTAATTATTGACAGAGTTATATCCCATCTGTTAGACATTTAACCCCAGAGTTATACTACAACTGTAACTTCTATTGTGATTTCCTTGAAGTTCAGCATGCTGAACATATTATTACACATTTTATACTATTTCTGTGTTATATTTTAATAACAATGTGAGCTCTAATTGTCTGTCTGTCTAGGTTTTGTATAAATGTTGTAAATTCTATCATTGTTCTCTAAGTCCCTCCTTTTTTCTTGAGATCACTTCTTATTCTTCTACCAAATTGAAAATGACATTAACCATGTTAGCTGAGCAGTTCTTGCTGAATATTTAGTCTTTTTTTAAGTCTGGATGCACTGGCATACGTAAACTTTCTTATTATAGTTGTCCTTAGAGTAAAAGGCATTTGATGGCAAAGCTAATGGAGAAATCGCTAGAGTTATTCTTGTTTCTAAAATATTCCACATTTTAATTGAGCTTTGTCTAAAAATGTGTCCTTTCAAATTATTTTTCTTTTGCTTCCTTATACCAAAAATACCTATGAAGTACAGTGACTAAACTGACTCCTTTTATGATTTATATTCTGTTTGGGGATTTCATCTATTCTGTTATCCAAGACAGGCAGAACGATCAATCAATTAGAGGTTAGAAAATGCAAAGTGGATTATTTTTTTTAAATCTTGCAACACTTCAAACCTTGCTCTCACTTTTTCCCCCGTTCCATGTGAATTAGTTGATTCGCTTTTGCTAACTCTGCAGGGTTTTGTCTGAAATTAGAATTGTTGCCTTTGACATAGAAAGTTCATCTTGGGCATAGTATCCATTTTTACCGTTGCAATGAAAGGTAACGGTTTCCCCTCTCCAATCGTGTCTGACTCGAGAGCACAGTTCTCATCTCTCTTTCTTGGCCGAGGGAGCCAGCGTTGCACGGAGACATTTCCCATGGTCATGTAGCCAGGTTGGGTAAACCCCAAAAGCGCACAGAACGCTGTCACCTTCCCACTGGAGTGGTACCTATTTATCTACTCGCATTTGCATGCTTTCGAACTGCGAGGAACGGGAGCTCACCCTGTCACATGGCACTCGGGTCTCGAACTTGGGCTGCCGGCTTTCCAGCTGACAAGCTCAGCGTCTTCAACTGCTGAGTCCAGCCAATAAACCCTTAGAGGTTTTTTTTTCACATTTCAAGATCTTTTTAATTTCCCCCCATAATTCATTGTCATTGTTATGAAATGTATCTGATAGGAAGCAATCTAGTCCGGTGTTTGGGTGGCCTGAACCAGGCAGGATCGCCTTCATGAGGGGGACACAAAGCCCTCCCCGGCCCCCAAACCCCCGTTAGCTAGAGAAGGGCTGTCCATCCCCTGCGCCTTCCCTGACTCTCTTCTTTCCCCAGCAGGGACCGACTCTGCGGCCGCCTCCAGGAGCAACCCCTGCCTGGAGGCGGCCAAAGCCTGCAACCTGAACGACAACTGCAAGAAGCTGCGGTCGGCCTACATCTCCACCTGCAACAAAGAGGTCTCGGCCTCTGAGCACTGCAGCCAGCGCAGGTGCCGCAAAGCCCTGCGCCATTTCTTTGACCAGGTGCCCAGCGCATACAGCTACCGGCTGCTCTTCTGCCCCTGCAAGGACCAGGCCTGCGCAGAGCGCCGCCGGCAGACCATCGTCCCCGACTGCTCGTACCAGGAGACGGAGAAGCCCAACTGCCTGACTCTGCGGAGCCAGTGCCGGGCGGAGCCCTTGTGCCGGTAGGCCTGCTGGGTGGGGGGTGGGGGGAGGAGGAGGCGGGGCACTCTTGCAGGGGGCTTTAGCAGGTTGAGGTGTTTGCTGCGAGGGACCCTCCCCGGACGTGAGAAACTGACCTCTCGGCCCAGCCTGGTGGGGGAGGCTCTGGTGGAGGGTTGCCTCTCAGCTTTGAAAGGGGCCACAACAGGGTCGTTTGGCCGCCTGCTAGGCACAGGGCGGGGCGGTTGGCGCCTGCTCTGATCTTCTGTTTATGGTGATGTATTAATTACTGATGAATTATTCAGGATCTCTACGGCTTCCCTGTTAAAGGATGAAAGAGTGGCTCAGTGCCAACTACGAGCATCCCCCACCAGGCTGGGCCGAGAGCTGCCCAGTCCCCACCCTGGTGCTACCTGGAAAGCCTCTGAAGGCCTGCCTCTTGGGGGAGGGACAATGCCTGCCCCCCCCCAGGCCCCCTTCATTAGGCAGGGCTTGTCTGCCGGATCAGCAGTCTTGCAGTTGCTGCTTCTGGATTTCTGGAAGTGGGGGGTGGGGGGGCGCCCTCTAAATTAATAAAGACACGGACTCGCTCTGCGGAGAGCCAGGGCAGGGCTGGGGGGGGCTGGATGGAGTCCAGTTTGGGTAATTTGCTGGTTGCTGATTCCGTACAGTCCAGGGATGCTACCTAATTAAATCAACGACTGGTTTTAGCAGTAATTATCACAATTATCCCTCCCAAATGAGATATATCAAAGCAATTGTCAGGTTGCCCCAGTGTATCTTTTTTTTTCTTTTAAAGCTGCAATATTTCAACAAAGATAAAAATGGAACAAATCACAGCAGTGCCAATAAAACAGGGATTTTCAAAGTTGCTGAGGCCAGGAACCAGCAGTACGACAAGCAGGGCTCAGCCTCCTTATCCTCTTGAATCACACACTTATAAAGCATAAAATAATATTTATTCGGTCAATCACCACCGAAACTTAAATCAAGTGAAGCAAATAGATAGACTAATATATTAGTAACTAGCAAAATAAATCCCATAATAACATAGTGTTTGCCCATTTTTAATCCTAGAGCATGCGTAGAACAATCCTTCCCCTGCATTAAATTCTCCCAGGCAGCCTGTGACTTATTTTCTCAGACTTTCACAGTTGCCTTTCTGAGCAAGGACAGTTTTTCTTTCCTTGACTGCAAGATCTAATGGCGTCTCCTTCCGTTGTCTGCTTAGATTCTGCCATCCAGGCAATGCGGCATCCCCATCTTAGCCAGATGTGGGACGGTTTTAGTGCGTGTGTGTGTGTGTGTGTGTGTGTGTGTCTTCCTGCAGATGAAGCTTTGCAAACTTAGGCTCCTGAGGCAAACCAGGCGCTTTAAAGTCTTCAAAGGGCAAAGAGAGTTTCATCAAAGGGGAGAATGGGCCCATTTATTTTTGAAAGGCTGCCCTTCGCGAGAGAGTTCCTGGGGTCTGTTTTCATTCCTGTCTTCTCCAGATTAGTCCATGAAAGGGATGCAGTCCGACCTCCCCTTTCCCCTTTGGCCTTGCTGGTCTCCACCCCGTGTCCTTGGACTCTCCCTGCAAAGCCTCGCCCCACCCCCCATTTGGCTCTGCCCCCTCCACAACCCCCAGGGAGCCGCAGAGGGCGAGGCGCCTGGCAGCCCAAGGTTTCCTCTGGGGGGGCCCAGTGGAAAAGCAACACGTGGCTTGGACAGGGTGAAAAGGGCAGTGCTGGCCTTGGGGGGGTCCTCAGGCTGGTCGTTTTGGAGGCTCCTTGCAGCTGGCAGGTCCTTCGACTTGGGTCCCCCCCCCTCGTCCCAGCTGTGGAAGTGGGGAAGCAGAGGCTGCTCCCATTTAACTACCTGCCTGTCCGATAAACGAGATGGAGTGGGGTCCTGCATTGGATTATATAATTTGTAACAGAGCATTCCTCATCCCATCTGGAGTCCTGTTGATTTATTCCATATACCCTTTAGTTTGTGATGGTCTGTGGTTTTAAACAAATAATCATTTATAATTTAATCCATCTTCCTGTTGGAAACTTGGCAAAATACCCTGTTTTGGAACTCAGGCAGGAGGGCAAAGAAATAATTCTAAGTAGCATTTATCTAGAGTTGTCCAAAGTCAGGACTTGACACATTATTATTTATTTTTAATTCGGACTCATACCTTTTTTGGGGGGGGGGCATTGTGCTGCTACCTCACACAAACCAGGCTCCCTTTTAACCCAGAAAAACGCCAATTAGAGGAGGCCTTGGTGGCACCCAGAAACGGATTTCATCCACGGCTTCCTGGGTCACTCCAGGCTGCTGTCTCGGGGCAAATCAATAATGCCTCAGAGAGGGGCTCCTCCACCCCCAACCTGCCCATGGAGTTTAGAAGCTCAGGCATAGATTTCCAGTGCAGGGACCCCGAAAGCTCTCAGGGCTCCCTGGACCCCTTTCCCCACACCCAAGGGCACACACCCCTGAGAGGAGGAGGAGGAGGAGGAGGAGGAGGAAGAGGGCTCAGGTGTACATGCCGGATTCGTGGCCTCGTCCACAAGGAGATCATGGGTGCAGAAACCATTCCCACTCCCAGGTGGGAAGAAGGAAATAAGGTTTTAAAAGTGCAACGAAGCGGAGGGGGGGGGGAATTTCCAAGTCCCCAACTTCTTCCCAACCCAGGGCCAAGAGGCAGGCCTTCTCAGCGCCCCCTTCCCGGTCATTCTAATTGGCTCTCCTGTAAGCAGGTCAAGACTGGCCGATTTCCACAGCAACTGCCAAGCCTTCCTCACCAGCTGCTCCAGGGACAACTATCAGGCCTGCCTGGACTCCTACACTGGCCTGATAGGTAAGTCTGACAGACCAGGAGAAGAGGGTCAAGTAAGGAAGTGGCTATCCAGCCAGTTTGGCCAGTCTTCCCCTTTAAGGGGAGGTTTCCGAGAAGACAGCCGGACTGAGATACAAGGCCGAGAGAGGTTCAGTTTTGCTTGTCAGTGAGTCGAGGGACACTCCGATCTCTTGGAGGCCCCCAGACCATCAATTCTGGGATCCTTGCGCCATTGTGGAGGGCCGGGAGTGGGAGCAACGTTGGCCATAGTTCTCCTTCCTCTGAGGCTGGTTCCGCTGTGCGTTCGGGCTCCTCCCTGGGATGGGGAGAGGTCTGGAACAAAGCAGGGGTCCCTTCTCCCCATCATTGGCCAGCATCTCTCAGAGCCCCCCCCCCCTTTTCTCTGGCTGAGTCATCCAAGGCCTCTGGGTGCATTTGGCTGCCCTGGTCTGTCGAAGGTCCCCGTGGAATCAACCACTATTTCCTGATTCCCCTTTCTTGATGAATATGTCCAGCTTAAATGTCCTGCCTGGGTCCCTTTTATTTTCCCTTCCTTCTCTTCTCTTTGACAAGCCTTTATTGCAATCTTCCACCAACAGAGAAAGACATAAACAGAACTAAGAAATAGTAATACTGAAGTATGAATTAAGAGCTATGAATTAAAGTAAATTATGCAAACATTGGACTCATATGTAATGTATGCTATTATACCATCTGCTCCTAAAATAAGACTTTTGTTCTACACTAAAAATAAAGATGTTAGTAATATAAATGTGTGGATGTAGCCTTTAGCCACTTATTATCTAAAGTGAGAAGGAGCAGGAGAAGAATAGGAATTATAAAATTGCCGTATGGCTTACCTTTCATTAACTTACTCCCATTCTAGCCCAAAGTAAATTTAGCAACCACACGTTCTTTGGGAGTTTTCCGTAGAGACGCCGAGCTTGTGGTTCACCTGAGGGGCAATGAAGAGGGGGTGATATGGCCAAGGGAGGGTGCCAGAGATACCAGTGGGGGGGGGGGGGCTGAGCTGGGTGCCGAGAGCGTCCCTGTGCAGGGGATTCTCCTGGGAGACCCTCCCTCCATAGCCTCCATCAAAAGCTTCCCTGGGGGGGGGCTTGTGCGCCCTGGAGACCCTCCTGTTCTGACCCAACCGGGCTCCCAGAGAGCAAACGCAGACAAAGGCAGCAGCCCCCACCTTTCAAGGTTGAATCACAATTCTGTTCCTTTACAGATAAAGGAACTGCTTTCCAACAATTAGCTCCAACAAGAAAAAGCCTTGCCAAGTTGTTGGTCAAGGCTGCCAAAAACCCAGAGATAAGAACTAATTTACCAGATTCTCCAAACACGAACTAAGATGTCCACCAGATGAGTTTCAAAGCTCCTTTATTGTCTGCCAAGAACGCTTTCCCAAACCTGGCTTTTATCCTCTTGAGGGAGGGGCCTTTACCTTGCAGCCTTACTCCCGAGTCGCCTGTGCTGCTCCAGCGGTTCTCTTCTACGGCTCACCCTGCGCTCACGCGCACTTGGCCCAGGCTCTTCGGGAACCTCCTCCTCGCTGCTGCCAGCCCCCCCAATCTCTGAAGGCAGCACCCCACTCCCCGATAGTCCTGGCCCCTCATCTGAGTCCTTGCTCTCCTCAGCCATCCGCACCTGCTGCCGGCTAACCACAACACACCCTCATTCCTCCTTGGCAACAGGTTTGGACCTGACCCCCAACTATGTGGATGCGAGCTTTAGCAACCCGATGATCTCCCTGTGGTGCTCCTGCCAAGGGAGTGGCAACATGGAGGAGGAGTGTGAGAAATTCCTGAAGGACTTCACGGAAAACGCCTGTCTCCGTAAGCCTCCCGTCGATCCCGGGGCCCATTGGAAGCAGGGCTTCCTCCGGGCCCCTTCCTGGTGGGAGAGGGGGGGGCGGGGGGGGGGGTCCGTCCTTCGGACTGTGCTGGAGAGCCATTCCAGGTCTTCCTGTGGGTCAGCCACGGGAAGAAGATCCCTCCCCCAACGCTCCATCTGGGGCTGGCACCAGTTCCTGGGGCTGTCGGTGCCCTGCTTGTTCCCAGCCGTGGCCCCCGGGGTCCTCTTCTGGGGGGGGAGGGCTGGCAGATCCGTTGGCAGAAGAGCTCTGGATGCCTGTGGAAGACACAGAGCTCCCCCGTGCCCCCCACCGCAGGGCAGAATGGCCTTCTGGGGGCCCTGGGCCAGGGGTGGGCTTGAGCGCTTGGGCCAGGGGTGCTAGTGGCGGAAGAAACACGGCCCGGTCCGGTTTGCCGAGAGGCCCTTTCACAACTCCCTCCTCTCCCCCCCCCCCCAGGAAATGCCATCCAGGCCTTTGGCAACGGCACTGGCCTGACCTTCTCGCCCAAGGCCCTCCCGCCGCTGCTCCTCACCCTGCCTCCCTCGACTGGAAGGGCTGCCTCTCTGCCATGCAGCGTGAATGACAGCCTCCCCTGCACCTCCTCCACCCAGGTACGGCGGCGTTGGGAGCTCTCCCGGAGGTCTGGGCAATGCGGCAGGGGAGCTTCTACCCGGGACCAATGGGGCTTGGAGTGCCAGGCTCCGTGGCCCAGACCTAAACCTCATTCCGGGTGTTCGTGGATGCATTTATGGCGAAGTCCTCGCTCCAAAGCGGCTGAAGAATGGGGAGACTTTGTTCCCTTTGGGTGAGCCGGAAGGAGAACAGCGCATGCCTCCTCCTGCACATGAGGCCAGAAGGGGAGCCGGAGGGGTGGGCAGTGGACACAGCGGGGTCTCCCTCACTGGCTAAACGTTGGCTCAGGAGGGGGATTAAGCTGGGACAAGACTCTTTGGGCTGAAAAACACTATACTTTTTTATGAAGAATTTTGATTACCCTAGAAAAATAATTATCAACAAATGTATTAACTTTGCCATCTCAAATGTTACAAACAGTCATCTCTTCATCCCATATCCCATCCCTTGTCTATAAACAAACCATAAAAACATCAACTTTTCAGTCCTGGTGCAGCCAGTTTCTTTTGTAGATCCAGTGAAACGATAGATAGATAGATCATGATAGATGGATGGATGGATGGATGGATGGATGGATGGATGGATGGATGGATGGGTGGGTGGATGGATGGGTGGGTGGATATAACTGCACCTGCCTTGTGAGCATAGGAGGGCAATCTCGCATGCTGTCCTTACCTGGAGAGGTTCCAAGGAGCTGATCTGCTCGCTGGTTCCTTGGTCTTTGCTGCAATCACCATCTCCGCTTTCGCAGAGCCATTTTTAGTTTCCCATCGAAGTTTAAAAAAACCCACCCAGAACTGGCTGTGCAGCATGGAGTGGGCTGAGATCTGGGGATGGTTGCTGTTATAAGTAGGAAAAAATACAGGTAGTCTTCAAGGTACACATTTTCATTTAAAAACCATTCCAACTTACAATAGCCTCGGAAAAAGTTAGGATCTGTGCTCGCACTTACAACTGTTGCACACCCCCTCACACACACACCCCATGGTCACCTGATTGCAATTCTGGGGCTTGGCAACTGCTTTGCCAGCACCAAGATTCATGACAGAAATTCTGCTCCCATTTCTGGGTGTGAGTTGGATCCACTGCCTGCGTTAGTGCCCTTCGGCACACTAGGATGTCAGAACAAGCTTTGCGATCTTTTCTTTCCACCAACTCCTATAAGTGAGGACTGTTTCCAGAGGGAAGGGACTGTCCCACTTGGACTCCTCCTCCTCCATGTGGGTCTTCTTCTTCTTCTGTCTCCACAGGAAAGTGGGTCCAAGGTGAACCAGTCCACAGAGCAGAGTCTTTGCTTCTCAGAGGTAAGTGGCAGACCTCTTTGGAAACCGATGCCTGGTCCCTGCCACATCTTTCACTGCTGCCCTTTAGGTGAGGACTCCCAAATGCCGTGAAGGAGAGAGGCACAACTGGGAGTGGACCTTGGCTGATGGTCCACTGTCAGAGGAGGCCACATCACCAGCGTGCCAGGTGCCCTCAGCTCTTGGCTATACCCAGGTCGTTGCCTAATGGAACTCTAAAGTATCATGGCTTCAGCAAATCGCCTCCTGAGCGCACAACCTCAGTGCAACTATCTCCTCCCTCTTTGGAAAAGGCCACCGTTGTGTTCTTCTGCTGGTGGCATGGAGGCAGCCTTAAACACTCCCCATCCAGGGTCTTTTGGCTGGTAGACAATAGCTCTGTTTCCTGAGGGTCTTTTAGCAGGTGACCCTGCCAGAAATTAAACCTGGCTCCAGATACAAGAAAGCATCTGCATGGATCTTGAGCCTCTTGAACCTGCAAGGCCAACCCATGGAGGAGTTGTTGTTGTGGGGAAAACAGGAGAAGGAGGGAGCTTTAGTATCAGATGCGGAAGGCCAGGTCCGCACTTGAAGGTCCAATTTCACTGATTTATGCCCAGGTATCTTCTCAATTACCAGCCAGCGCTTGGTTAGAGTCAGGTCATGGGCCTTCAAAGGGGGTTGGACCTAGTTTGCTTGTGGCTCGGTAGGGATTCTAGGCTGAATCCCCCTTTTTACTCCACCCACCCTCGGGTTTTGCCATTCCTTCTATAATTATACCAATAATAAAGGCAATAATAAGTAAACGAACAAACGAATGGTCTTTCCTAAAAGGTAGGATAATGGCAGAGCAAAGGATGCTCTGGGAATTCATGGTCCAGGTTAGTTTTGGCGCAGGGATTCTGCCCGTCCCTCCTAGGCCAGCCTTGCACAAAAGCATGAAAGCCAACCAACCTCTGAAGGGCACAACATCCATAGCTGGAAGAAAGCTTGTCCCGGGGCTGAAGCTATTTTTTTTTTATCTTGCAGAAATCACTGACCACCGCTCTCATGCCAGAGCAGAAGACTTTGGTGGAGCCTAAAGGATCAGGCAGCCAACTTTCCTCCACGGGGACTGTCTCTGCTCTGCTCGTCTTCCTTGCAAAAACGGCCATGTAGGAGGGACATGGAACAAGACTTGCCAGGAGACGGGAGGGAGGGGCCCGTGCAAACCCCCCTCCACCTGTAGGCCACCCAGAACTTTCCCTTGGCCGCTGCCTCCAAGGAGGCACCACAGCCCTTGTAGAGGCCTCTGCGAGACGCTCTCCGTTGTGTCCGTGTGGAGGCCCTTAGTAAAGACCTGCCAGGCCTGGGAATCCAGGCTCGTCTCTTCCCAAGGATCCCAAACCCAGGCTGAACTTCCACCCCTTTACCACCCGTGTTTCAAAGGGATCCAAGGTATCAGCTGGGCAGTTCAGTGGAGCCGGAGGCCTTGTGGAGAGGCTTGGCCTCGCGTTGTCCTGCTTTCGCTCTGCAAGGCCGAGGGGCGGCCATTCCCCACCCCCAGGTCACCACCCAAACCGTTTTTTGCTGCTTGAAAATGCTCCAAAACAGGCCTGGCTTCCCTTCAGCTCAGAGGATACTCAGAAGTGTCCGAACTTCATCCTAGGAAAATGGAAAGGGAGCGAGGTGCTTCTACAGCTAGAGGCAGCCTCCCGTAAGCAGGAGGCTTGGAGGGCTGGGACTGGCTGGCTGGAGCGCGTACAGAGCTGTGCCTCATGGAACAAGGAATGCCGCCCCTGGTCCGATGGAGTTTCTACTTCCCCCGATTCTTCTGCTTCTCCATCTCTTCATCCTCTTTTCTAGGTTTTTAATCTCCGATAAAATGATCCCACCACTCTGTTGGAAAGTTACCCCAGGAGTGTCACTGTCCTGCCACCTCGGGTGGAAGCACCCACGGAGGGCAGCCATGAACCCACCAGACATTGTCGATTGATGTTTTCTCCTCCTTCCTTCCGTGTTGTTTCCCCCCCCCCCCAAAAAGTCATAAGAATAAGAACAAAAGATGAAATATGAATATGATAAAAGTTTAGTTTTCTAAAACTGGAGTGCAGCAGCGAGCCCTGAGCAGCCCTGTGGCCAGCGAAGGATCGGTCCGTGGAAGAGCAAAGGGCCACTTTGTGGATAACTCAATAAACGCTTATTGAGAAACCAGCCAGGTGTCCGGTGATGTTCACTCCCAGCCGTAGGCGGCATCCTCGGTGGGGAACAGCGGAGGCTCTGACGGAGCGGCGTGGGGCCAGCTCAGGGAGGGGTGAGCTGAGAGAGGCTCATAATCCCATGGGGCAGGGGTCTCCAACCTTGGCCGCTTTAAGACTTGTGGACTTCCATAGCTGGCTGGAGAATTCTGGGAGTTGAAGTCCACAAGTCTTAAAGCGGCCAAGGTTGGAAACCCCTGATCAACAGGAAGGAGGACACCTCCAGTTGAACTACTTCCCAACAGTCAGATCAGAGGAATGGTAGTTGATGGTCTCCAAGAAGAGACTGTCGGCTTCCCTTCGCTGCATGTCCCAATCCAGGAATTCTGGGAGTGTTAAAGTCTCCCCAGATTGGAGACCCTTGCCATTTGAAACCCCCCCCCCCCCAGCCTCCGTTCAGGTTCGCCATTTAAAATCTAACCTCCTCCAGGCGAGGAGATCCGACCAAAGAGCAGGCTCTGACCGGCTCTCTTTCGGTTGCAGCGGTTGTGCTGGCACCGAATGGGCGAGGGGAAGGGCTGGCTGGCGGGGGGGGGGAGGCTGGTTTGCTCCATGGGCCCCACTGGTCTGTTTGGTGCGCTTCAGCAGCCACTCCTAGGAGCCCCTCCTCTCGCCAAATGCTAAGGAAACCCCCCTGGTCAAAATAGAAAAGAAATTCCCAGCCATTCAAGCGGCAAAGACCCTCTTTGGGAGAAAGGAAGCTACCATCTTTCTTCCTAGTTCATGTTTTTTTCCATCCTGTGCCATCGGCAACAAAGGGCCGGTCCAAACCGACCGCAGCCCTAAGGATGGAAGTGGGTTGGGGATTGGCTTATGACTCAGGTTGATTTAGCTCCCCCCCCCCCCATATACACACCTCTGAGCTCACCCCAAGGGACTCTGATGCCTTCCATGCAGTGGTGGGATTCAATTTTTTTTACTACTGGTTTTGTGGGCGTGGCTTGGTAGGCGTGGCAGGGGAAGGATGCTGCAAGACCCCCCTTCCCTCCGCACCCCACTAACCTGCTTTCCAGCTCCGTTCTCCCGGGCAGGGCAACCAAAGAAGACCCAGCCAATCAGCCGGGACTCGATGGGAGGCCGAGAAGAGATGGGGTTGGCGGGGCCAGTCAGAGGTGGGATCTGCTGGTTCAAAATGTCCACTACCGCTTCTGCAGAACCGGCCAGAACCAGCTGAATCCCACCTCTGTCTCACTGTGATTAGAAATACCCCAAACCTCCCTGGTTCTGCAGTTCACTGGTTAGGCCCCTTTGAGACCTAATTTTGAGCTAATTATTAGTTTCTGCGGTCTCAGCCTTGGATCCATTTTGTGTTAGCGGTGGACATAGGCAGTTCTCCCCAGAATGTGCAGCATGGCCCACGTTTCAGGGAAGCAGCAGCTGATGCCTTGATGTCTGTCGCACTCACTTCCCTGTGGACTAGGAAAGAACGAGGCGGCCTCCAGTTCCCAAGAATTGAAAAATTAAAACAGACGCATTTCTTTCCAAGCAAGCCCAGAGAGCTGCCCGTGTGGAAAAGGGTAAAGGGAAAATCTCTTAGATCGCTATCAGAATTCAGTTTGTTAATCCAAACCATAAGTCTGAAAGGCATCATAAACAGGAAACCAGATGCCAGAACCGGCTGAGGAGGAGAATTAGGCAGGAGGCACTGAGTGGGAGCCAGGAGTCTGTAAGGAGACGGCACAGTACTCGGGTCCAAGCAGGCCGGACTGCCAATCATCTAAGGGCCATTTAGATGTAATTCCACTGGGGGAACTATACGCTGAAGGCAGTTGGTAGGTCAATTGTAAAATCCATCTGGTAGTGATATTGTCTATCCCATATTGTTCTCTCTTACCAAGAAGTTGGTTGTGGTCTACTTTGTCAAATGCCTTGCTTGCTTGCGCCTTCAGTCTTCCAAACACAGCCCTGGTAGTATTGTGTTTCACCAAAAATAAGACCCTGTCTTATATTTTTTTTGCCACCAAAAATGGCACCAGGTCTTATTTTGGGGGGGTGTCATCCACTGACTAACCTCACTTGAGTCTGTCTCCCCTGGCCTCCTTTTCGCTGCCAGAGGCCTTCAGGATTTCCTTCTTCTGTGGCCGGCAAGGCTTTCCTGAAGGCCTCTGCAGCCGATAAGAGAGCTCTGGACCGATCAGCTCCAGAGGCCTTCAGGAAAGCCTTGCCAGCTTTGCCAGCCTTGCCAGCCTTGCCAGCTGCAGAAGAAACGGGCCGGCAAGGCAGGTGTCGGGGTGTGCGAGGCCTGGCTACACCTGCCCAAAGGTAAGTAGTAGGGCAGCTCCACCACCCCTATCCCCACCCTGGCTTCATTTTTACCCGTGGACTCTGAAGTGGGTGGGATCTTAATTAGGGCTTATTTTGGGGGGGGTAGGGCTTATATTGGGTGCACGTGTAAAAATCAAGCAAGGACTTACTTTCAGGGCAGGTCGCATTTTCGGGGAAATGGGGTAGAGAGAAAGCTGATGGTCCCAATTCCAATTCCTCCTCCTCCAAACTGGGTGCTGAGGTGGCCATGATACTGGGCCTAATAGTAGCCCCTGTAAGAAAGATCTGTGCATTCCCAGTATGAACCAGCAGAGAGCCAGAGTGTCCCCCCCCCCAAATCGCTTTGACGGAGGTTTGTCCTGGTCGGATGGCAGGAAGTCAACCTTCTCCTGAAGGCTCCACGGGTGAAGCTGCACCTGGAACGCAACGTCCACTTCTGGTTGCCGTGTCAAGGAGGGAGGAAGGTGTGCAGAGAAGAGCAACGAGGAGGGTGACGGTTGCGACCATCCTATTAGAAATTACCAGAGGAAGCGGTGATGTTTAGCCTAAAGAAGCAGAGCAGCTCGGGGATGGATGGCAGGCATGATCCTGGCTTTGGCCAGAGCCATCCCAAAGAAGGTGGTGGTGGGGGGTTTATCCTCCCGGGGGGGGGGGGGGG